TCTAAGATGACCAGTAGCATCAACAGCAAATTTTGGGCAATTTCCTTCAAAATGAAATCCATAAATATTTTGATTAACATTCAATGCCTTCATTATTTCTATAGAAGATGGTTCATCAAAACCATTATGAGATACATCTATGTGCATTAACTCAGGATATGGTTTTGCAATTACTCTGGCCATCTATTGAGCACATTCAAAGGAAGCAGTTCGATTATAAGATATATCAAAAACCTTTACACTTGAATTCTTATAAAGGGCTTTCCATATATTAATACCTCCCTTACTATTAATGGAATTAAAGTGTAAATAAAATTCAAATAATACATTTGACTTTTTCAAATAATTTGATAAATCATTAGTACAATTATCTAAAAATTAGAATAATAATTGAAATACCTGTTAAATTGTTACGACTTAGATTTAACAAAGTCAAGTAATCATTATCTTACAAAGCCACAAAAAGATAATTTGCACCTAAATCTCCAATTTTATTGTTTTCCAAAGAGAGTTTCTTTACTCTTGATTTCTACATGTACTTAGCCAAGGTTTCACAAGCTTTGGAATCTAATCCATTATTATTAAGATCTAGATCTTAAATTTGTTAAGGAAAATTGTCAACCAAACTCTTTATTTTTGGTGATGTTAATTGATTATGACTGAGTTTCAATTGAGTAATTGTTTTACATTGAGGAGATTAGAGAGCTTCTGTGAATACTCTAATTTTAGATTCATTTCTCAGCATTCCTTGAGATTCAGCAGTTTATATAGTATAATTGGAATTAATTAAACCAAGGCCAGCTTGAAAGATATTGTAGACTGAGACTCAATATAAAATTAATACCTTGGGAGCTCTTATTTAATTATAAATAGATGTTGGGTTGTTATTTATAGAATTAAGCATATTCTTCAAGTCTCTTAAAATTTTTGGTAGTGCTCCTAAAGTCCTTTTGATTAATCTTCTGTAGGTTTTTACTATTCATGTAGGATAAAAGTAACTTACTTTCCTAATCTATAATTTTTTAGAAACTTTCCTCTATCTGATAAATCATCATAAGGTTGATCTTGACGATCCTCATAGAGATAAGGCTATTATTTCTTGAGATCTTCTAGTTTAGTAGGGGCTATCAGTGTAGCACCTCTTCTTTATGGCCTTTAAGTTTGGTTTGGTTAATGATGTTTACGATTAAATGGTCGAACTGGACTAGCTTCTTCCTTAATTGTAAGCCTTTATGATAAAACTTAAGCTTCTTCGTTTAGTTGATCAATAAGTTTCTGATCTCCTTGATAAAGATCATACATAGTTTCCATCCTTAGGTTCTATTGCATTTCTTTTAGTTCTTCGTTGTCATTGATGCGAGCAGTATGCATCTACATCCTCTATCGTATAGGTATCTCTGTAATACGAGTACAAGAATTCATTTTGGTAGATGGCATTCGCATTTTCACAATATCAAGTTGTGATTTAACAATGGGAGACTTTTGATTTAGGCTTGTCCATGTACTTCGTAAACTTGATTGCCGCACTAGATAAGGGCTATGTCGTAGTACCGATCTTCTATGTTTCTGGCTCCTTATTTTAGGATCCTTATTGTTCTTCCTGTTCTTATTACTTGCGAACTTCACGTAACTTCTCCAACAGTTTGGCTGGAGTGTTGTAGATCTTGAGTTTCTCAAACAACATAATTTTAATAATGAAGTAAATTGGTCATTATACATACGATGAAATAAATTGTCTCGGATAAGGAGCATATGGCAAAGTCTATGAAGGATTAAATACTCTCAATAATGAAACTGTTGCTATAAAGAAGTTAGACTTGATTCTATTTGAAAAGGATAAGTATTTACGTAAACAAATAGGTAAATCATCTATACAATATCAACAAAGTTTAGGAGATAGAAATAATGAGTAAACTCAATCATAAAAACATAGTAAAATTTGTTGAGCTCTTGGCTACTAAGAAATCCTTATTTATAGTGACTGAAATTTGTAATAATGGAGATCTTAAATCATTAATTGCTAGTAAGAATATTAGTGAGTAACAAGTATGTAAATCCTATTATGTCATAGGCTATTGACATTATGCTATAAATATTAGAAGGTTTCAAAGAATTAATTAAGAGTGGTGTTATTCATCGAGATATGAAACCAGCCAATGTTCTTAATGATAAGGGTACTGTTAAAATTGCTGATTTTGGATTTGCTAAATATGTTGAGAATTATTCCTCATAATTACTTAAATCTTGTGTAGGAAGTCCACTATATATGGCACCATAAGTTTTAGAAAGACATCATTATAGTACCAAATGTGATATTTGGTCACTTGGAGTAATTTTTTATGAAATGTTACACTTTGATGTACCATGGAAAGGGAGAGATGAAGAGGACCTTTTACACAATATCAAAACTTAACCATTATAATTTAAAAATGACCTTAGTACATTTTCAAAACAATTTCTTACCATAGTAAATATTATTCTATTTTTGATAGACTCTTGTAATTGAAGAAGAAAATAGAGCTTCATGGAATCAGATTTTTGAACTCTCTAATAATTCTGAGTTATATAAATCAATGTCTTCTGAAGATATTAATGAAGAAAGTATTTAAAAATTACCTACTTGGATTCAAAGACCTAGTATTTAATAAAAATAAGATAAACAAGTAGATGAACAGAAACTATAATAGATAGAAGAATTATAATAATTAAGATAACAATTAGCTTATTAACACTTCATAATGACTGAATGTTATACAGAATAAATTAATAATGATAATAATGACTGTATTAATATATTGATCAATTATTTCAATGAAAATATTGTTAAAAAATCAGTATATTTGATATAAGTAATTTTGATGAATAAAATAGACTAGCATTGATTTGTATCAAAGATTTTCATAAAAAAATTTATTATGGAAAATGTAAGAATAATTAAATAATGAACATAATTATTATTTGTAAATGTAGATTGATTCTAAATAACAATTATCTCAGAACTAATGTTTAGATAAACCAAATGATAAATAAATAAATGAAGCAAAGAATTAATTGTTAAAATGTAAAAATTCAAATGTAAATATTTGATTATTGATAATTTAGATAGGCTGTATAAATGTTGTTAAATTTGATAGATAATTATAATTGGATAGAGTGATTTTGTAAAATAGATATATAATAATTATAATTAAAAAATTGTATATATTTGATAATATATATTTATTCTCTAATTTAAATTATAAAATGGAAATGTATTAAATGAGTATTTCTATCTATGATGATCTATTATTTAATTTAAAGAATTTATCAAAGACTTTTTTAGATTTGAAATTACTTTTGCATAACATATTACTTATTATAATTCAATTCGTTTATTTATAATTCTCTATAAATATATTATACAATCCAATAATGTATACTTAAAGAAAATGAATGAATGTTATAAGACAATCTATGGAAGATTATTGATAATAGAATATCGTAAAATTTTAATTGAATTCTAATTCAATTTTATTAGATCAATTATTTATAATCTTTTATAACTCTAAATTGTTTTGAATTAATAGAATATTTGGAAAGATAATTATATCATAAAAAATTTATTAATTCATATTATAATTCAAAATATGGAATCGAATTAAATATATACAATAAAATAAAAATTTCTGACCCAGAAGGATTCGAACCTCCAACCCTCCAACATGTGTCGGTTGCACTACCACTTGTGCGACAGATCATTCAGTAATAGTTCTTTAATTTCTAACTTTTTATTTTTAATTTCATCTAATGATTAATAATTAATAATTATAAATATAAAGAAATAAATTTTTATTAATGACAGATTATTTCTACAATTTATTCTAATTCAATTATTTACTAATAAATTGATCTTATAAATATAAGTTAATCATAATTTAGATAAAGATGATATTAAAAAATACATATATAGAAGAGAATTCATACTTTTATTATTTCACAAATTTAGAATTTATAAATTGTTATTGTGGAGAGTTCATAAATGAAAGTATCAAAAATGTGTTAAGCTAGCCCTCCTAGCTCAGTTGGTCAGAGCGTTGGCCTTTTAAGCCAAATGTCAAGGGTTCGACCCCCTTGGAGGGCGGTTCTTTTTTATTTTTTATTTTTCATAATTAATACAATTTTAAAATTAATAATTATCTTTGGTTTTTAAATGTAAAAATACTTATTCTAATGATCAAATTATTACAATTACTAATGCAATTACTATAAAATTTCATTTTTTAAATACTCTCTACTAAAACTGTAAATTGATATTACATAACATAGATTATATGTAATTATAATAAGCTTAGAATAATAATTTTTGTTCATAATGATATCTTCTGATAATTTAAAGATATATTTATTTAATTAATGAAACTATAAAAATATATTGAAATAAAAGGATTATAATCAATCATTAAAAGTAAGAAAATTTAATATTTTCTCTCTTTATTAATAATCAATTTCCTCCTTCTATGATAGAATCAAATAATAACGTTGTTAAAGAAAGTTCTTTTTAATTTGAAATCAATTTAAAATTAAAAATGACCATTACTAATTATTTCTATAACTCTTTAACAATCCTTCCATTTTTTCTAATTCAACTTAGTTTAATTTTGACTGATATTCTTATGTTTTATTTTATCTCCCTCAACTTTTCAGTTTAATTTTATTATTCTCTTTTTCCATTCTTTTTATGCATACAATAACATTTTAAATATATGTAGTTGAGCAATCATTATTTCTATTAAATATTCCATATTATTTTGAATACATATCATTATATACTTTCTTGAACCTTTTCAGATTTTAATAAATATTATATTCTGTTTTTAGTATGATGATCTATCTATAGAATTATCTAAAGCTTTGTTATCAATTTGAGATGAATCAGATATAAATATTTAATAAGAACAAGTATAATATGCTGAATTATATTTAACTAATTACATCAAAATATTGTTTGATTAAATAAAATTTTTATGAACACATACATTAATAGGATAAATCCAAAAACTAATACGACATTGTAGATAGTTTTTTTGGCAGCTGCTGGTGTATGGTTAATTATTTTATTATTTTCAAATTATCAATTTTCAAAATTGGAGTAGAATGGAGAATAGCTAGAATGCAAATTAAAATATGATGGGAATAAGAAATGCAAGTTAAATGACAAAATATTGTTTAAAATAAAAATTAGTGGTTCAGACTGTTATGATTAATATGTATGTAATACAATTTTAGCTGCTTATCCTATTACAATAATTGATATAGTTCTAATTGCAATAGCATTAACAATGTGTTTATTAAAACAATCCAATTTACCAGGGAATACAATCACTTTCAATTACGTATCCATAATTTCAGTTGCAGTATCAGCAATAACATTATTTGTACTATCAATTATTTTAATGTCGGCTATTAATAATTATGATCTCCAAGCCTGGGTGATCGTTTCTTAATTTTTAGTCTCATTAATCTTATTTGCCAGTTTAATTTTTATAAGAAGGGAAGAACAATTATCCTCAGAGATAATGAAATAAGAATAATTGAATAATATGGAGATTAAGTAATATGTTGTGTATTGATTATAAAATAAAATAATTTTCTTATTTACATATATATCTAAATATTGATATCTCATTTGGCAGTTGAATAGATATATTTAGACAACCAAAAGACGATCATGGCTCCAAAAGATAAAATTAAACAAAATAGATTTTCAAATATTGTTAAAGGAGCAGTTTTAAAGTACTTACCTCCAGCATAAATGATAACCTATTGAATTATTATCAAGCCAATAATCATCACAGTAAATGGTTTATTCTTTTGGATACCTTCAAAGACATTGTATTCATGCTAACCAATTCTACGACTGCATATTAAATTTACAATCTAGAAATTGGCAGTTAAATGATAGACTAGAGTATAATGAACAGCCCATTCAGAAACAAATTCTGCTCCTAAAGCATGCAAATCATGTTTATAAGATGGCCTATGATATTATTGAAAAAAAATATTACTCAATGCCAAAAATCATAGGAGTTAAAAATAGAACAATTAAGGTGGCCAAGTATTAAAATAATGCTTATGTACAAGTCATTTATAATAAAAACTTGTCAATGATATTTTCTCCCCTTTTTGCAGGTTTTGTTCTATTTAATATATCATCTTAAGGAATTTCAGTACTTAGGGCAACAGCTGAAAAAATATCTTATACTCTAAAAATAATATAATATTATTACAAGCTCAACCATATAACTTCTAATACAGTGTATGGTTATTATTTCAAAACAATAGAGGCAGTAAGCATAATAGCAATAGAATTCAAAAAGAAACTCAATTAGAAATAGATAAATCTTTTGATATTTAAGAAAATGTTTCTGCCATATTTCATACATAATTCTATTCCATCTAATTTATCATCCATCAAAATTACTCCACTACATTCTCTAGCAATATTAGTTGCAGTTTTTCCTAATGTGATTCCAACAGCTGCAGTTTATAAAGCAATAGCATCATTATTACCATCTCCAACATATCCAATAGTTGATTCATTAATATTAGAATAAACTTCCAAAAATTAATGTTTTTAATGTTAATTTAAATCTGCTAATATTTATAATACTTTATTCATATTAGATACAGACTAATATTTAAATATAAATAAAATACTTTGCAAGCTATGGCATCATCTAAAATTTCTGGAATTTTAGATACTATATTTCTTTCATTAACTTCTTAATGTGTATAATATATTTTAGAATCATTTAATATCTTTCTAATTCTAATTACATATTCTTAGAAATTCAAAATCAATATTGTTTTTAATGCTGCTGAAGATGAAATTTATTAATGATCAAATTTATTATTCAAAAGTGGAGCAATTTCATCTTATGGACATTCCATAATTGCTGATGTAATTTTGATTGCTTATTATTCATCAATAGGAATAAATGGTGGTTCTATTATAATAGGTTAATGTTCCATTTAAGAAGATTTAGGTAAATGTTCACTAATTCTTTATATTTCATGATCTGCTTAATCACTACTTACCCAACCTAATTATTTGGCTACATTAACAGCATTTACTCTAGTATCACCAGTTAATATCATAACATTCATACTACCCATTTTCAATGCACTATCTAATCTCTTTGCTTCTTATCTAATATCATCTCTCATTGCTAAAGTTCCAATAAATATAAAATTATTTTAAGATATTAATTAATTCCAATCTTATTCAATTAAATTATTTATTTAAACATCTCTATATGCAAATGATATTGTTTTAAGTGATTAAGAATTATAATTTAAAACAGCTTTCTTTTCTAAATCTAAAAATTCTTAAGTCATTACTTGATTACAACAATCTTACAATTTAAAACGTCCTGGTTCATATAATTCAAAATCCCTATTATCTGGAATAGATATATTAAGTTAACTACATTTTTCAATAATTTCTTTGGATTTACCTTTCAAAATGATTCTATATTTATCACCTCTTATTTATAAAATTTCAGTATGAAATCCATAATTATTAATAGGAATAGTTTTTCTTATTTGATTCTTTAAATCTTATTAATATTCATAAACAAATTCTCTTTTCAATTTCATTTCTACATAATCAATAAGTGCAACATCCAATCTATTACCACTCCAATCACTTTTCATAGTTCCATCAAAAATACTATTAGATTTAATAGATTTTGAAGATGAACTCTTTGATTTTTAAGATTTCTTATTAGATTTGCCACTATGTTCAGATTGATATTCTTCTTATTCAATTTATTTAATTTAATTAATAATATCTTCTGATAAAAAAGCTGAATTTGTAGATAATACTGCTTCTGCTAACATTCTAAATATAGGATCATGAGATTGCAAATTATGATATCTTTCTTCACTTGCAATATGAACATTACTAACTTTAAGATTATTATATGTTAATGTTCCAGTTTTATCAAAACATATAGTATCAATACCACCCAAAACTTAACAAACATGTAAATTTCTAATAACAATATCTTTTTATCTTAATTTAGCAATTGAAAATGCTAAAGATAATGTTACAATTAATGGTAATCCTTCTGGAATAGAGAGTACTATAATTAAAAAAGCATCAATAAAATCTGATAAAACCTTTTTTAATGCAAATTAAGAGAATATTTTAACTTGTAATTCTTATAATTCTCTAACCATATATAATTCTAAAATAATAAACATAGCTAATGCACTCATGCAACCAATAAATACTAAAAATTTAGCTAATGTTTCTAATGCTTTTGCTAATGGAGATCTTTCATCATGAATTAATTCTTCTTCACCTTCCTCTTTTATTTAATTATCATGTTTCATTCTGTTTGCATATGTAAATTTACCCACTGCTAAAACTATCATTTTTGCTGTTCCCTCAAAAATATTGCTACCTCCTCTTATAAAACAATTCTTTCCTCTTGATATAGGTTATTTAGATAATGAATCAGTTAAACCAGTAATCATACTTTCATCCACTTCTATAGTTTCAGTACCATCTATAAGTAATCCATCTACAGTTACATTATCTCCTGGTTTTATTGTAATAATATCTCCTACAACAAGATCAAGATGATTCAATTATTAAGTAATACCATTTCTAACAACTTAAAACAATTTCTTTTATTGTTCTTCTTATTCCAAATATAATTATCTAAATTATTTTTCCTTTCTATAATCTGTCATAGCTCCAATGATTACCACTGCACAAATAGCAATCAGAATTGAAAATGCTTACACTATCTATTCAAATGGTTCTTCTGAGAAAAAAGCCATCAAAAACATTATTACTGTTGCAAGTGCTAATATTCGAATACAAAAATCCTTGCTCTATTTGTACATACACATATAAAATGGAGATAAAGCAGGTGGATCCAACTTATTACTACCAAATTACTCTACTCTATCGCTCACATCTTATATTCCACTTTTTGGATCACTTTCTAAACTTCTGTATATTTATTCAACACCCCTTCTATTTACATGACAACTTACCCTATTTCATCTAATATTTAAGTCGATTGACCAGATTACAAGTTGCCTGTATCAAAAATACTTTACAATTAAGGATAAGATATCTAAAACCTTTACTAATCCATAATTGTATTCGTTTTTTAATTATTATATAATATAAAACATATATATATATATATCAATATTAATTCCAACTCCACAAAATTACAATCAAAAACAACTCTGTAAATTATTAATCATATAATTTCACATATATAATATCACTAAATTAGACTCATTTCTTTAGTTTCTCTTAATAAATCTAATTTATTAATTTTAATATCTCCTTTTCTCTTTTAAGATTATCCAATCCTTCCTTTATCTTAAAATCCTTATTAAAAAATCAGAAATTGTATACAAAGTATCTGTACTAATCATTTCTATTTATTCTCTCATTCTCTGTATGTAATTACTTCTGAATATACTATCTCTTTTCTTATTTCATAAAATGTTTTACTTTCAAATATTCATTATTCTATTAAATTACTATATTATTCTAAATTATATTAATAATCTAATTAAATTTGCTTCAGTAGTATGAAAAGTGATAATGGATTTTATTTCATTATCCTTAATTTTAATTTCTTGAATAGTTACATAGTTCTTAAATAATAATTTGATTAAATCTAGTGTATATAATTAATCTACTACTTTTATTTTATTTTTAATCTCTTATAAAGATCTTAATTTTGTAACTCAAATTAAATTAATTTCTCTTTTTTATTGAAATATTCTTAAAATTTTTCTTTATTTTTTAAGTCTATTCATCTCAACTTTTAATATATATATATATTTCTTCTTCATTTACTTTCATATCTTTTTATTCTATTTATCTCTATTAACTGGAAATAGTTCTCTTCTCTTTTAATCATCTGCATATTATTTCTATTTACTAATCTTTTTCTTTTGTTCTTATGATCCATACTTCATATTTATGAATTACTTTTAAATTGTTATTTATAAATTCATATGCTTTTTTATTTTTTATAAATCTCTCCTTAGTATTTAAATTCTTATCAGTATTATAGTATATATAGCTAAATCTTTATATTATGATTTTAATCTAATTTTTATGTGTGTAATATTAATCTCTAAAATTTCAAATGGATTCCCATTTTGTTTAATAAAATCGATAATATAATTCATTATTTTTTATATATTCATAGTCCTAATTCACGTTTGAGTTTATCTAATCTCTCTCTTGCAGCCTTAATCTTCTCAGTTTCTAAATGTTCATGAATATATTCATCTATTAATTAATTTTATTCTGCTTGACTTTGTTATAATTTTTCTTAATATTTATTTATATTATCATTAAGCAATTAAATCTCTGATGCCAATTTAGAAATAGTGTGTTCATTCTATCTTACTTATTCTCTCAATTCTATTTATTTTAATCCTCTCTTTTTAAGTTGTTCTTTATTCACCTCATCATCTGGATTATCATCTTCTTCTATAACATCTGTTGACCATAACATTTTATGGTTATCAAATTCATATCTAATATTATCCACAACAAATTGTATTTTCTTGAGGGCAT